GCACGTTTTGACTATCGTGCGGTATATTATAATGATATTTCATTCAGTGAGGGAGAGCAGCTGGAGATGCATGAAAAATCTTATAGTTTTCACTGGAAAGGAAGATCCATAGTTTCTGGTTATGAGGGAGTCTTTCCTAGTAGTTGTGTTTACTCAATATTGGAGTCACTTCAATTGTTAGAGTTTATACTGTCAGTGGAAGAAGTGTCCCTTCCCATTCTACAGAAGATAAGGGATGATTCATCTAGTAATGATGAGAAAGCTTCTCTTTTCTTGGAGACTATTAATGATGATCCTATTATGATATCTGCACTGAGACAAGACAAGGAACAACATGATGAAGGTAATATTTGTGATTATTGTGAATTTAAGGCGGAATTACAATATGACATTAGGCCAGCGTACCGTCAATTTTTAATCAAAAGTATGGGCGATTTGACCTTTTGACGCATGCTTTCCGCTGGAATAGAACCAGATTCTATTCCAGCGTCAACGTAACGTCAGGACTAGCGTAATGTTGTAATTCCGCCTTTATTGTGAAGTATTGGTTAGTGTACAGGGTTGATACATTATTCCTGTCCCTTCATAATGCACATGCATGTATGTATGTACATTATGTATTGTGTCAGAAGTCCATGATGGAGGGGGGTGGACTCCTGATTGTGTGTTCAGGGCTGTCAAAAGCAATTTAAAAGTGATGAGGCTATGGGCAAGCGAAGCGAGCCCGGTGAAAATTTTTAGCTATAATGCATCATGGACGTTTTACTTATACAGTGCCATATACACTTATACATACACTTACACTAATTAATTACACTAATTATAACCAATGTCAGGTACTTGTAATCTCTGTCTAGTAGCCATTCAATTTCTGATTCTTTATACAAGTACTCCGTTCTATGGTTCTTTTAAGTTCAGTTTTTCACACGTGTAATGTGTAGCTAGTATAGTCATAGATATTAGAGTAAATGATATACTCTAATATCTATGGTATAGTAAACAACATTGACCACACCCATAAAATTAATTTTAAAAATTGCTTATGAATAAAAATAAAATTAATGGTACTATAAATGTGGTGAGGCTAAAACCTCAGCAGTTCTGACAGCCTTGTTGTGTGTATTTGTTTATTAGTTGTAGTGACAACTAGGAAGTTGTGTGTGTTTGTATATACAATGGTGTGAATATGTGTATTATTATTTACATACATTTATATAAGTATAATCCTTTGGTTTATATTAGGAGAGACTTGGAGTGTGGACTGGTACAGTGACAGTGTATCCCTTACCTCTCCATCTCCAGTTCAGTGTAATGAAGTGATTAGTAATATTAATGATGATCATAAGGTGGTTGAACTTGACTCCTCATCTACTAATAGTACAGTATCTCTACTATCATCAAATAAACTGCATACAGTAAACCTGAGGAGTCTTGAGATACGGGCCACTCCATTAACTAATGATTGTATCCAGTACTTGTGTATACTACTAACTAATAATAAAACAATACAAGAACTAGTCATCAGGTACCACTCCATTAGTGATAGAGGAGTTACTAATATCTGTCAAGCACTTGAACACAACTCTACACTTACCTCATTAGATCTTTCTTATAATCCTCTCATCACTTCTACTAGTGGAAAAGCTCTTTCTCACCTCCTCCTCAATAACTCATCGCTAGTTAAACTGAATATAACAGGTACTTCATTGTCTACTGAGTCAATACGATTGATTCTCCAGTCATTATCAAGCAATAAAAAAATAAAGAGACTCACAGTAGACAAGCAACACAAAAAGAACTATCCCCTCATACAAGACAGAGTAGTCTGGTGGTAACTAATCACTCTTCGTCTGGGCAAGGTTTACTAGTTTGTTTTGTATTTTAATTCAAATTTATTAAAATGCCAAAATTAATATTTAGTGATAATGATAATACTAAATCTCAGACTCAAGAGAGTAAATGCTGATACTACCTCTTTTTTATAGTTTTATTATCCTATTAGTTACTCTTCTATTATTATTATTTACATTAACACACATCATCTTATAATTTTATACCCACACACATAACTTATCTCTCTCCCTCATTGACTGTGGAGTGTGGAGGTATGACACTAGCTGATAGACAGTGACTGCAGAGTAATAGTGTTAGGATTTGATGTGTTAACTAATTAAGATTTTGTGTTAAATTATCATTGTTACTATGTTACATTTATGTAATGACTTAATTTGATTTTTGTATAAATGGGGCTTGTGCTCTGTACTTTTTCTTTTGTCTGTCGTTTTGTCTGTTTTGTCTGTAGTTATTTGCTGTAATATAATTTTTGATCTTAACCGATCACATGTGACATATCCCGCGGCAAGTGCATTTATGCCAATATATGACTGTTGTTGTCTTTGTTGTTGTGCTCTCTTCTGTTCTTCATGATTTGTTTTTATTTTTATTAAAAAAAATTAATACACACATGAAAGACTGAGGGAGTTCAAGTGGGCCAAGTGGCCAGTTGGAACTGCCAGTTGGAACTGGCTACTCGGCCCACTCGAACACCCTCAGTCCCTCAACTGTGTATTAATTTTTCTAATTATGATCACACTGTACCTATGCCTATTTAACACCCAGCTAGAGGTGTTGCATTGATGTCACTTTTTGATGTCATAATAAATTACTTTTGTATATGGCAAAAAATAATGAGCTCCACCATAGCAAGGGGGGCCTGACTACAGCAGCAAGCGCTACTAATAAT